GATATAGCGAGCGGCATCTGTTTCATCGCGGCACGCGAGGTGGAGACAGAAGAGATGAACTTCTATTCCCGCCTAGACACGCGCTTCGGCTGGTCCTTCATGCTGCACTGGGGAGCCACGGGCCTCGCTCTCCTGGACGGATTCCTCATCATGTGCTTGGTCAAATATGCTGCTGATGACGTCAACAACACCGCTAAGTACTACTACTACAACAATATGTGAACCTGGGGATGTTGTTAGGATCAGCTGTAGTGGTGGTTTTTGTGAGAACGTATCTTTTGATGATGTCATTATAATCAAAATTTGTGTAAGGAATTCAACCCTCTCTCATAATATCACTCTCATCCACTTCCCCCTCTCTCGTTTCTCCTCTCCCCCCCAGCCCCCTTACCTTCTACTCCCCTCTCTCTCATCTCTCCTTCTCCCCCTCGTCACCTCCCACCTTTCCTTTCACTGTTTCCCCCTCTCCCTCCCTTCCCCTCCCCTTTCACAACACGTGAACTAAGGGACGTCAACAGCACCACCAAATACTACTACTTCAACAACAATATGTGAACTTGGGGAGACAACAGCAACATGTGAACCAGAGGATGTTGTTAGGATCAGTTGTGGTGGTTTTGTAACAACACATTTTTTGATAACTCATTACAATGTGTTTAAGCAACTCTATCTATTTTTTCATGATATCACACTCGTCCACTTTCCTCTCCTCTCATCTCTCCTCTTCCCATTCTCACCTCCCAATCCCTCCCTCACTTTCCACCTCTCATCTCCCCCCCCCCTCCTTTCACTTTTCTCCTCTATCTTTCCCTCTACCCAACCAGTAGATTCCTTTGTGAAAGAGGGAAGGTAAGGATCAGTTGTGGTGGTTTTGCCAGAACGCATTTTTTGACGACATCGTTACAATTTGTGCTCATTGTTGTTGTTGGCTCCAATTTTGTGGATGTGAGCTGACATCATAACTTCACTGAGTTTGTGTGTTTACGAATAATGTGTATTGTGTGTGTGTGTGTGTGTATGTGTGTGTGTGTGTGTGTGTGTTTGTTGGTGTA